ACAACTTTTCGAAGCGGCTCAAGTCACTAGACTTAAAATTGATGAAGCATGTTATTAGTTTCATTGTCTGTGGGACTGGAATATTGGTTATGTAGTTGGCCTGAAATCTGATTTTGCAGGTAGCACTAGGGAGGAGTTGTGTAACATTCTCATGAATGTGAGTCCATATATGGATTTAGGTGATTCTTTTATATGGTGGCAAGATGCTCTTAGTTTTTTCAGTAAAATTAGCATATGTTGCTTTAGGGGACATCCATTCTGTTGGCTCTCTTTTTGAAGATAACAAGGTTGATGCTTTTAAGATGTTGCGGTTCAGTAATGTTCCAAGCAACATGCAAACATTCTTCTAGAAATTGCTTATCAACAGGCTACAAACAAGGGACGAGTTAGCAAAGTGTGGTGTGTTATCGGGTCATTATGATCTCGTGTGTCTTCTCTATTTAGGGCCTGAGGAATCATCTTCATCTATTCCTCTTTTTTCTTATAGCGGCATCTGTTTTGACAGAGTATTCACAATTGGCTTTGGTTGAACAGGGTAACATGTGGTGATTCGATGGTGGACCACCGGTTGGACTTAATGTGCAATGAAATGAAGAATCAATAAGAAGTTGAGGCTTTTATTATGGTTGTATACTACTTGGTCGATTTGGCTCATTATTATGAATGACGCTGTCGTTATCTAAAATGCTGGCTAGATGCTAGATTCAAAGGGCCAATGAGCATCAATTGGAGTGTTTCACCATCCTTTTCCATTTAGTAGTTGGTTTTGTTTGTAGGATCGTTCGGTTTGGTTTCCTTGTTGTTCTTGCTTTAATGCAATTCCATTTTCTTCGAGAAAAAATGATAGCAATTATTCATTTGAAAATTGTCCTTGATATGCATTTTCATATCATGAATCATATCCCTGTCTTAAGGTGGCAAGATGCAAAGACGAATTTTCTTTGAACTAAAGAAAATACACATTAGATCTTCTTGATGATTGTTAAATTATTGAACCAAAGAAAATACTCATTAGATCTTCTTGATGATTGTTATATTATTTCAGCCTAGTGCACTGCTACCCCGTGCTATCTTGCAATCAAGTTAAGTAGTGTGGGGATCACTTCTCGTCCTGTTCAATCTTCTCTTTAAGGTTATTATATCTAATCAATATTAGTACTCTAACCATTACCTTCTCAGTACAACAACTTATCTAATTTATTGTTAAGTGTTGTACCTTAAAATTTACCCTCTCTTTTTTTAAGACATTTCTCACAAAAATCTTCGATAGCTCAAGTTTGCACAAATGTTTACTAGGTCAAACCACCTCCTAAGCACTGAGACCCCAAATTAAGGTTTTGATTTTCACAAGGACCATTGGACTTCTAATTCCCCAAATAACTTTCATGATTCATTATAAGACCTCCAAGGTTACTCATGCCAAATTTCAAGTCTTGTACCTCAAAGTTGCTCAGTCAATTGATCAGATGGCTGAAAATCAACTGTATTGGGTAAAAAGTCAATTATGGTGAACCTACAGTCAAACTTCAAGTTTTTTGACCCATATCAATATTTTGAAGTTATATTTATCAATTGATAAAGGTTTGATCCCAATTCCTCAAGAAAAGTGTTCAAATCATCAAAAGGGAAAAATGATCAAAATTAAGATTTTTGACTGAGAATGACCAGTCATTGACTTTTGACCTAACACATGACTTAATGTTTTGAGGTATGATCTCAAGGATTCAAACACAACATGTTTGACCTAATTTTATGGCTCGAATCATTTCTCAAGATCAAAAATTTGGTAGTTGAAATTTGGATCAACTGACAAAAAGTCAACCGATACACAAAAAGTCAATTTGACTTTTTGGTCAACATTAAATTTCAAACTTGATCATCAAGAATCAAGAAAATCAAAAAATTCAAGAAAGTCAACAAAAAGTCAAAGTTTCCAATACTTAGAAATTTTCTAAGTGTTTTTACACTTGATAATTTCATTACTTCATGACATTTTTTCACCAAGATGCAAGATGATTCAAAGAAAACTTTCAACATGAAAGTTGTAGATCTTGATGAATTTTACAACTTTGTATTAGGGTTGATGTCCAAAAAATGCTTAGATTTGAAAATATAAGCCCATGAAGTCATGACATTTTTATTTAACACTTAGAAAAAAATTTCAACAGGTTTTGGTTAGTTTTTATCTCAAATTCTTGGCCAATTTTCATCAAGTTCCAGTTTGATTTAGCCAAAGTGGTCAACATGAAAGTTGTAGACAATATTTCAAGCTTTCCAAAATATCCAAGAGTATGAATTTATCATACTTGAGCTAAGAGATCCAAATGCATGAAGTTGAGCATTCATTCTTGAATTACAAGTCATTTGGTGAAGAACACATAATCCAATCTGCATGATATGCTGCATAATCTTGTTTTGCAGGCCTTCCAACTTGCATATCTCACCATAATTTAATGTTTACACAAACTTTTGAGCTATGGTCCATTTGATTTAAGCATTGTTCAAGTGATCTTTCCATTTTTGGCACAAAGTTAACATTGTCATTCTTGCAAAGTAGCTTTAATCACAAAGTCATCTCTTCTTAAGCCTTTAACTTGTTCCTTCTACACACACTCAACACACAAAATCAGATAAGAATGCTTAAAATATCCAAAAAAACTCTATGAAGCAAAGTACAAAGCATTGGAACTATGACCTTCAAGCTTGCTTCATTTACAATCCAACCTAGCCACAACACGTGGTCTTGAAAATCTGATCAACCCTTGTCTTAAAACCTCTTGCCTATAAATAAAGAGATCATTTGCAAGATAGAAAGAGATGAACAAGCCCTCAAAACCCCTATACTCTAAAAAAATCATAATTGTCCACAAAACCTCTATTTTTGAGCTTTGAAGTCTAAATCTTTGAACCTCTCACACCTTACAAGTTTTTGCCAAAATAAATCATCCAAATACTTCACATACATCATATAAAAGTTGTTCAAATACAAGAACAACTTCTGTAATATTACTATCACCATCTTCCAAACTCAAAAACAGTACCTTGTAACTTGATCTAGTTGAAGTGATTTAGCAATTTTCAGCACAAAGTGAGGATTGGCATAACTTCAAGAAGGTCCAATGGAGCTCAATCAATCACCACTTTATATCCGGAAACATCCGCACGTGTTCTAAAGTTTTTGCTTTAAGAGCTAAATTTTCTCAAACTGTAATATCTTTATCCATACATCATTTGCTTTTGCTTTTGAAAGGATGCAAAAGGACGGATCAAAGAGAAAACTTAGCAAAAAGACAAGCCAGGGGTGACACATGTGCCCGTGTCAGTTCAACTGGGTTAAAAATTTAGAAAAATAAGAAGGACAGGGGCTGACACGGGTGCCCGTGTCACACGACACGACCCGTGTCAGTCAGAAACGTGTAAAGCAGGTAGGACATGGGCTGACATGGGTGCCTGTGTCACACGACACGACCCTTGTCAATTTGGCTAGAACAAAAAAATGTGTAGAGGAGCAAGGGCAGATTCTGACACGGGTGCATGTGTCAACTGACACGGCTCGTGTCAACTCAGGCATCAAAATTCCTAATTTTGTGATTTTTAAGTTACTTTTGACATATTGCATTGCTTGAAGATGACCTAACACTATACAAAACCTTTTTCTAGATAAAACATTCAAGTTATTTTCTAAAATAATTGAAAACCCTAAAAAATAATTTCTTTTCACTTTACATTTTCTTGCGCATTTTACTATTTTGCATTATACATTATATAATTATCAAAGTCTTGTAATAGTAATTAGGGTTTATTTTTACTTGTCATCCCCATTTGTAATTTTGTATCCCCCATCCCCCAAAGTATTGTAATAGTGTATGACATTTAAATTCCGCAATTCATCGCTTTTCATATTATTAGTAATTAGGGTTTGTATGACAAGACCTTAAAATCAAACGATAGACAACCCTAATATTTGAATCAAACACACTTCGCACACATACACCTCTAGGGTAACCCACACTTGTTTCTTCGGATATAAACAGTCATGTCCCTCGAATGTGGGATGTTTTGGCAAAGATCCTCAAACTCAAAAGATCATAGTCCTTCGATGACCATTCAAATATTGCCTTCGGTAAATGATCTTAGTCCCTTACACCAATTGCTAAAATATCTCGCAAGTTGCCTTCTATGACTATACGACGATCCACGTATGTCCCTTCACATCCAGTGATATGAATATCTACCAATTAATGGTAAAAAAAACATTATCTAAAGGAGGAGGAAAAGAACAAAAACTTTCTTTTGAGTAGGTAGAACGCTTGTAGTTGCTTGCTCACAAACATTTCAAAACAAACATCTTTCAAACACACCAACACTTTCATGAAATATTTTCAAAAGTCAACACTTTATATACATTCTTATAGAGACAAGAATCATTACAAAGTTCGCCTAAACGAAGGTATTTTTTTAAAAATTCTTTCAAACAAACACATTCACAAAAACATTTCAAAGTGAGCTAGCAACTAAGAGCCCGTAAATAATTACGGATGAAAATAATGCTAACACATTCCCTTTTCATAACCTATCCTCCGAACTCAAGAAAATTCTCAAACGGTCTTTCCTGTTCTTTTCACTCTTTCTTTTATTGGATAAAATAAAAGTCGGTGACAAATCTTACTATCTGCAACATTTACAATAAAACGCAAAACATCCAAGTCAATTCTCTCACCATAACACACTAAGCCTCTTAAATCTCATTTTCAAATTACTACTTGAGTGCTGAAGTATCTTAAATTTACACCAATAAATTCAAGTCTTGAGATGTGAATAAAAAAACAAGAGATGCAACACTAGCTTTTATTTTTCCAAATTAACATTCTTACAACAGGTATGCAAAATGCAAAAGCACTCACTAGATTTTTCCATTACTATAGTACAAGTAAGGAACATTATTACATCATGACAAAACTAACCTCGTGAAACAGGAAACAAACATTTGCTATCATTTATTACATTTCTAAAAATCCTTCAACGACATCTTCCGCAACAGAAGCAATGAAAGACTTGCTATCCTTATTTCTAACAGAGCACTTAGCACGAATCTCTCCTTGACTTCCAGTCAAAACATTAAGCTGACCCATTTTAAGCATAGCAGCAATAAATTTCTCAAAGAAAAGAGACTGATTCACAGCAAAATCAGTAACAATACTCTTAGTCCTCTTATCAGTATACAAATCTTGATCCGACGTAAAAAGACCCTGACGATTCATAAGATCGACATAGTATTTGTTATCAAACTTGTTAGGACTACGAATATCTAAAACAGTTGTGTTGTCTGTGGTGTTAGTAGGACAAGTGAGTTTAAGGTTTTTGCCGTAGGTTTTGTCCATGACAGTGTCTTGTGTTGGGTAGAGTCTGTTTGTGAAAGAACTGCAGTGGCTTATGCCTATTGTGTGACCACCTGAGAGTGCTACTACATCGGTTGGGTTAAGGTTTTTGGTTGCAAGTGAGTTTAGGATTGTTGTTGTGTTGCTTGTTGGTGAAGGAAGGTTCTGTAATGTTACTTCTCTTGTTGCAAATGTTAATCCATCTCTTCTTCCTAATGGAATTTTGTACTCTGGTCCTCCTGACTGCAATGCAACAACATTCAACATTCAATGTAAAATAACTTATGAATCACATACACTAGACACTGGACACGCCTTTTCTCAGAGACTACTTACGAGGAAAACGGCGTCTCGCGCTGCAACAGCGGTGATATCAGCACAAGAGACGATTCTTCCACACTGCTTCTCGACACTGCTACGAAGTTTTTCGATTATCTTGAAGGCCTCAGTCCTAAGAGTCAAATTTGGTGGTGCATCTTTCTCACTTGGTCCACTTGCTGATCCATCCAATAATACTGATGCATCACAACCCTGCAATTTTATTAATTTTTCAAACATATTAATAGCCAAACCATGTCAAATGTTCTATGTAACTAAAAAAGGTAAATGTTTGGTTATATCAGCTCAGCTTAGTTGGTGACTGTGCAGAGACATTCAACTGCAAAGGTGCACGTGTGCACGTGCACGTTCGAATCCGCAATATCTAGTTATTCATCTTTGAAACTCCGGCCACATGTAAAGGTATATTTTGTTTACCTGAACAAAGCAGTCATGGAAGTGAAGGCGAAGTAAGCCAGCAGCTTGACCAATATCTTTATCAAAGATTTTCTTGAGCTCACTTCTGATGATAGATTCAAGCTTAGGACATTTTGAATTATAGAAGGTCCATGATAGTCCCTTTACTATAGGAGGTGTAGCTTGTGCTTCAGAAACTTTGATGTGAGAGATCGAAAGAAAGGTAAGGATTATAAGAAAAGTGAAGAAAGCACTACTAGAAGAAGCAGAAGCCATTGTAGTATGTAGAAAAGGGTAATGAGTTGAGATGTGATAGGAACACTGGTATTTAAGGGAAATGGGGTAGTTGGGTGTTCATCAATATTTGCGTATGACAATTTGGAAAAGTAAAGAATATGTTGATAATTTCTTTGAGATTTTAGCATATTTTGACTATTAAAAAATATTTTATTTTTCATGCTTATAAATATTCAGCAGCAGCCATGTGGTTGTTTATTCAATGACGTGTTTGAAGCAGCACACAGATTTATTTGACGATGACATGCTCAGAATAGAAGTATTTAATAATTGAATCTTTATGATATACTGTATATGTTTTTTCAGGAACTTGGTTAAGGAATCGATAAAAATGAAAATGAAAGTTTATTTTTAAGATACAAGTTAAATATATTTGCTAGCGTATTGAATAACAGATATATTTGATCTTTATCTAAATCATAAAAATCAGTTATTCAATAACACTAAAAACAAATCTTTGTATTTAATGATTGTACACATTCTCCACAGAGCTACACTAATTTATTAGAATTATATGATTAAATAAAATAAGATAACATTTTTTATTTATTTGGTATTTTCTAATGTATTATCAATGACACTATTATATAAAATCTTTAATGGACAATCTATTAGATTAGAAAGGATATTATTCAAGTTTATTAATATATTTGTTGATGATTATTAGTAGAAATATTACTATTATATTAAGTGAATAATTAGTATTATTATTCTATCTTTGATAAATTTAGCATTTCTATTTATTATTATTATTTAAGATAGATATTTTTAATAATAATATTATATTATCTTATTAATTATCATAACACTCTTTCTTTGAAATATTTATCACGGTGCTCCATTGAAGTCTTATCAAGGAGAATCTTATGAAAACATCGGTTGCTTCATTAAAAATCTCATAAGAAAAAATTCATTGGGATAAAAACCTTAATGAGAAAGAGTACAACATTACGCTCTCCCTCAACAAAATACATATAGTTCTTCTTTAAAGATCTCGAAGGTGACACATTCTAATATTCTGTACATGCTTCTTAAAAACCGATGTAGGAAGTGTCTTTGTAAAGATATTTGCCACATTATCACTTGAACGAATATACTGAATATCAACCTCTTTGTTTTTTTCAAGTTCTTGTGTGAATGAGAAAAATTTGGAAGAGATATGATTGGTTTTGTCACTTTTTATGTAACCTTCTTTCATCGGGATAACACATGCAACATTGTCTTCATACAAAATTGTTGGATTATTATCAATTGGTAAACCAGACGCTCCTTAGATATCTCGAGTTACTGATCATAACCATCTACACTCTTTGCTTGCTTCATGAAGGGCAATTACTTCAGCATGATTTGAAGAAGTTGCTACAAGTATTTGTTTTTGCGATCTCCATGATATTGCAGTGTTACCATATGTAAATATATATCCAGTTTGTGATTTAACATTATGTGGATCTGATAAGTACTTTGTATCTTCATAACCAAGCAAAACTGGTTTTGTATTGTTAGAATAAAACAAACCAAAATCAGATATACCTTAAAGATATCGAAATATATGTTTTATTCTTTTCCAATATCTTTTTGTAGGACATGAGCTGAATATTGCTAGTAAATTCAATGCAAAAGCTATATCAGATCTTGTATAGTTAGCAAGGTACATAAGTGTCCCAATGGCACTAAGATATGGTACTTCAGATCCAAGATCTTCTTCATTACCTTCCTTAGGTCTAAATGGATCATTGTCAACATTAAGTGTTCTACCCATCATTGGAGTACTCAAAGGGTTTGCTTTGTCCATGTTAAACCTTTTTAATACCCTTTTTATATAATTTGATTGATGTACCAATATACCATTTTTAGTATACTCAATTTGTAAACCAAGATAGAACCTAATTTTTCCCAAATCTTTCATTTCAAATTCTTTCTTTAAGTAATCTCTTGCTTCCTTAATTTCTCTATTAGTTCCAATAATATTTAAAACATCAACATAGACAGCAAATATTACAAAACTCAATATTGTTTTTCTTATAAAAACACAAGGGCAAATAGGATTATTCTTATAGCCTTCTTTAAGTAAATATTCACTTAATCTATTATATCACATGCGTCCAGATTTATTTTAACTCATATAATGATCTTTGCAACTTAATTGCATACATTTCTCTAGGTTTTGATGTCTCGGGCATTTTAAATCCTTCTGGAATTTTATGTATATATCAATATCAAGTGATCCATATAAATAAGCAGTAACCACATCCATAAGATACATATCAAGATTGTTAAATACTAATAAATCAATTAAATAACGAAAAGTAATGACATCCATAATAGGAGAATATGTCACCTCATAATCAATTCTCGGTCTTTGGTAAAAAAACTTGTGCAATAAGACGAGCTTTGTATTTGACAATCTCATTTTTCTTATTTCGTTTTCTTACAAAAACCCATTTATATCCAATTGGTTTCACATCTTTCGGTATAGCCATAATAGGGCCAAATACATTTCGTTTTTTAATAGAATTTAATTCAGTATCTATAGCATCCTTCCAATTTTTCCAATCATGTCTATTTTGACATTTATTCATAGATCGAGGTTCGGGATCATCATTTTTATTAATAATTTCACATGCAAATGAGAATGAAAATATCTCATCAGTATTCATACCTTTTCGGTTCAACAAAATAATTAATTGAAATCTCGAGATCATTCTTGGTTTCTGTTTCATTATCAATGATCTCATTATCATCATCTTGTGCTTCTTCAAGAGCACGCTTTTCAATCATGGATTTGTTATTATTATCCAATGTCTTTTCAGGGTCACTTTCAATCAAATTCACCTTTTCTATTCCCTTTCTTTTTCGGGAATTTTTGTCTTTGGATCCCATAGGTCGGCCACGCTTCAAGTGTGCCTTAGATGTACTTGGTACATTATTTAGATTTTAAATATCAATCCTAGCTAGGACATTTATTGTTGGTACATGTGACTTTGTCACTGTTTTCTAATCAGTAAATGAATCTGACAATTGATTTGCTAAATATTGTAAGTGTATTATTTTCTTTACAATTTCTTCTCATGATCTATTATATGAGTTCAAATGTAATAAATGGGGTACATACCATGTTATCTCATTTTCTAATTTTTTATTCTCTCCCCCTAGCATTGGAAATTTTGTTTCATCAAAATGACAATCAACAAATCTTGCCTGAAAAATATCACCTATTAAAGGTTCAAGATATTTAATATTAGATGGTGATTCATACCCCACATATATTCCTAACCTCTTCTGAGGTCCCATATTTGTTCATTGTGGTGGAGATATTTGAGACATATACTGCACAACCAAATATCTTTAAATGAGAAATATTTGGTTCCTTACCAATTGCAAATTGATAAGGGGTATATTTGTGATCAACACTTGGCCTTAGACGGATGAGTACTACAACATGTAAAATTGCATGACCCCAATTTGTAACTGGTAGTTTAGTTTTCATTATTAATGGTCTAGAAATATATTGAAGACGTTTGATTAATGACTATGCTAAACCATTTTGTGTATGTACATGAGGAACATGTGTTCAAGAGTAATTCCAGTTGACATACAATAAATATTAAATGATTCAGATGTAAATTCACCTGCATTTTCAAGTCTAATTTTTTTTATAGTGTAGTCAGGAAATTAAGCTCTAAGTTTAATTATTTGTGCAAGAAATTTCACAAATATCATATCACAACTTGGCAGTAAGCATACATATGACCATCTACTAGATGCATCAATCAATACCATAAAATACATGAATGGTCCCGACAGTGGATGGATAGGTCCACATATATCTCCTTGAATTATTTCAAGAAATACCGGCAATGTCAGAATCTTGCCTGGTGCATGCTTTGTTATTAGTTTGCCAAGAGAGCAAGTTTCACATGGTCTATCTTATTTTGTAAGTTTTAAACTTTTCAATGGATGACCATGTGTACTTTCAACTATTTTACGCATCATTGTTAAACCAGGGTGACCTAAACGGTCATGTCATAAAGTCACAATTTTGGAATATTCTTTTACTACTAAATTGCATTAGATCTCATGTATATATGTATAATGTAATCCATAAGACAATTTTGGTAGTTTTTCTAAAATTTTCTTCTTTCCCAAAATATTAGCAATGATATAATGTATTTTATGTTACCTTCAATTGCAGTTTCAGTATCATATCCTTGATGATATATGTCATTAAAACTCAATAAATTTCTCTTTGATTTTGGAGAGTATAAAGCATTATTAATGACAAACTTTGTCCCATTTGGTAATATAAATATAGCATTACCTGTTCCTTCAATCAAATTTACAAGGTCTGAGATTGTATTTATTACACCTTTAGTAGGATTTATTTTAGGAAAATATTTCTTATTTTTTAGTCTTTGACATGTTCCATGTCTAACCTTCTTAAAATAGAATTAAGATTAAATAAAGAGTAAATAAAAAAAATATTTAACATTATTATTTCATGCAAACATAAGATACACTAAACAACATACAAATTCTTAAGTTAATACATAATCCAAATATAAAATTAATACAAACACATCAAATATTACTCAAATAGTTACTTAATCCATTGTTCCTTCAACGAAGTCAGCAGTTTCAAAATAGGTATTATCATTTTTGGATTCAATCTCATTAAAATTCACTTCTTTTCCTTTTTTCTCTACAAATGTTATTTGTATTTTATACAAACGATCTGTTGCTTTACACACCTTAGAACAATGGTCTTTCTTTCCATATCTAAAGCATACATCATCATAACTTCTTGAGGGACCTTCTTAGGTATACTTACCCTTTCCTTGGCGATTCCAATTATTTTGGTCATATCTGAGAGATCTAAAATTATTCATATGACCTCATCCACATCCTCTACCATGAAAATGCTTTCGATCGTGAAAAAGGTTTCGACCATGATATCCTCCTTGACTGTGACTATCAAAACG